GAGGAGGTGGCGCGGTTCAAATCCCTCAATGCCGATCACGAGGATGTGATGCTGGGGCGTGTCCTCTACGAGACGCGTTACCCACATGTCATCTTTGTGCGAGAGAAGGTGTGCCGCTTTCACGACGTACACGTGGGCGCCAACAGGGCACCCGTCACGTCGCAGTCCGTTGTGGTGCACCACCTGCGAGAGCACGAGTACGCGCAGCTCGCCCACCGCTTCCACGGCGAGGATCGCGACGCGGTGACGCCGATGCGGTTTGAGCGGCGCGCAGGGCCGATGGGAGTTGTGGGCGAGGCGCTGTACACCTACAACTGTTGAGCGGTGGCATGTGTGTGTGTGTGTGTGTGTGTCGGGTGCGTGAAGGCGACAATGAGGTGGCCCCCATGCATTTTCTGCGCTGAGGCCCCCGCACATATGTGCCTGTGTGTTTCTCTTATCTTTTTGTTTTCTTTTCTCCGTTGTTGTGGTTGGTGTTGTTGATTGTTGTTGTTTTTTTTGTTTTGGCGTCTTGCCTGCCCCACCAACAAGCAACCACTCGGAATACACCATGGGCTTCCGCACACGCAGGACTGGTGCTGCCGCCGGCTCGAGCGGCGAGGCGATTCCACTCAACCTGTCCTTCGGCAACTTCGAGTTCGAGGACATGAAGCGACTTGGCAAACGCGGCGGTGGTGTGCGGGAGTTGGCGTCGCTGCTGCGCCACGCCCAGCGCCAGCGGACGGCGCACTCCGCCCTGCTGAGCACCGAGGAGGGCATCGAGCAGCGCAACGCGGAGCTGCTTGGCACCGCCATGCAGCGCGCGGCCGGCATGAAGGTGAAGGATGACCCGAAGCGCCTCGCCAAGGCGCTGGCGAAGCGGCGCAACAAGAAGCGCAGCTCTGCGAAGAAGTGGGCCGGGCGGCTGCAGAAGCTGCAGCAGTCGGTGGACAGCGTGGTGGAGGACCGCACACTCGCTCGGCAGACCGCACGGGCGCAGCGGGAGAAAAAGACGAAGGATCGGCAGCGGAAGCGCGAGTCGAAGGGTGGTGCTAGTGGCGGNGCTGGCGCCAAGCGGGGGAAGAAGGGCGGCGATAGGAAAGGCCCCGCTGCGAAGAATAAGAACAATAAGGGTGCCAAGAAGTCAAGATAAACGCCGTGAAGAGATGAGGCAGCAGAAGCAACAGCAGCACAAGGCCAGAAGCAGTCTGACATGGGAAACAGGGGGGGAGAGAGAGAAGTGGTGTGCATTTTTATGAGGTGGGATGTTTTCCCTTCCCGATGCGGTGCGTATTTCTGTGTGTCCCTTGCGGGGCCCGCACAGAGACACCGGCAGACGGGCGAATGGACCTGCGCTAGCACACCGAGTCTAACGTGTCGGCGATTAAACACTACCAGAGAGCACCGAGTAAGGCATGCCACAAGGAAACGGGGGGAGTTGGCATCTGTGTGTGTGTGTGTGTGTGTGTGTGTGTGTGGTGCAAGAGGTCCTGCACGTATAGGCATCACGCTGCTGTCGTTGTTGTTTGTGTTGTGCGGCTCAGTGTGTCCTCTTTTCCCCTTTGTTTCACCTTCTCGCACGGCAGACTTGAGAAGAGTAGGCTTTTTTTTGTTTGGAAGGGGCCTGCTGCAGGAGACCCTCCAAAGAAAAGAAAAACACCCGAGAGAAACAGGAAACTAAGGAAGAAAAGCTAAGAGGCGTCCGAAGACCAGCTGGGCCTCAGCAGCCACACACACACACACACACATACATACGCTTAAGTGAAGGAAAAGGGCAAGTATGCTGCGCCGTTTTAATATCTGCGCCGCCACCCGAATTGTCCCGACGGCGACGGTGACAGCCACCCTCGTCGCTGGACGCTGCTTTCTGCAGCCGCAGCCAAGCGTGCGTCCCGCCATGACAGCGACAGTAACAGCAAAACAGGCTGCAACAACGTCCATGGCTGCCATGCGTGCTGCCCCAGCGTTGTGTCTGGCGAGGCGCGGATTCTCTATGCAGCCGCTGCAGCGTATGCGTGCGGCGGGGCATCAGGTCCGGCCGCAGACGTCGCCCATGAACTTCGGCGGCGGCAGCAGTGGGAACGGCAGCACCGCCGACAGCCTCACGCCGTACGTGCGGGAGCACCTGGCGAAGGTGTACGGCCTGCTCGCAGCCGGCTGTGCGGCGGCTGGGGTCGGCTCCTTATTGATGTTCGCCACACCGCTAGGGAAGGCGATGCCGTTCTGGCTGCCGATGGTTGGCGGCTTCGTGCCGCTCCTGTGGCTCTCCTTTGCGCCGCCGCAGAACCCGACGCTGCGGCTTGCGCTGTTCTTCTCCTTCAC